GGACATCCTTGCCAAGGACGAGCCGTGGAGAGCCGGGGACTGGGGCCTCTTGATCCAAGACACCCCTCCTACTAGAGCCTACCAATTTTCCCACATGCAGCGTGATTCACCCACCAATGCCGTCTTCCATTCCTTCCCGATATCCACCACGGGCTCAGATATGCCAGCCATCCATAATCGGGAAGTYGAATGCTCCACACTAGAGTTTTTTCTCCTTAGGAAGGTTAGGGTCATAGGCACATGGCCGAAGTCGATTTTTAGACCAGATACGGCTATCCGAGCCTTAGAATTTGACCCGGGAGAGTGGGCATGGACCTCAGGCAGCAATCGGAATGTCAAGACGAAAACACCGGTTCAAGATTATACCGTTAAATTTGGGTACGGATTACTACTGAAGACCAAAGACCCAGATCCCATTATCTTGAACAGATGGCGAAAGCTGGTGGGACAGGAAGCCGACAAAATTCAACAGATCCCATGGAAAAAATATGCACAGATCAGACCAGTTAAGATCAGAAGTCTGCAGTGGTTGATAGCGTATGCTCCCTTACCAGTGAACCAGTGGCTGCACACTAGGCGTAAAGCTACTAATCCGGATAGCTCGGAGATATGTACAGTCTGCTCGGCAGGAGCGGTAGAGGACATAGTTCACTGCTTGGTGCACTGGGTGGAGGCGACAGATTACTGGGCGAGAGCCTCTTCCCTGTGGGACTCCCTCTTCTCTTCCCCCTTCCCTGAACAACCCATCCAACTACTCCTCACTAACATCCCCACGATGACTCGGAGGGCGGAAACGATTTGGTTTGAACTCATCAGGAAGGTGACCCTATGGGTGATCTGGAAGGAGAGATGTAGCAGATCAATTGAAGGACTATCAAATTCTAGGGACAAGGTATGGAAAGAGTCCAAGTCGATTATCCAAGCAGAGATATCGTGCAGATGGAGGAGAATCAAGCTGAAATGGCCCGAGGACGAAGAGCAGCGAAAGAAAGTGAGATCGAAATTTAGCAGGAACTGGCTGATTAGCGGTAAGGTGGCCGAGATCCGGGAAGACCGGGTGAGCTGGAAGGACTGGCACAACTCAATTCCGGATAGGATTGTACGGCAACAGACACCAACGGAGGAAGCAAYTATGACTTGAAGGGTTGGGGTCGAAGGGGGTTTCACCGGATTAGGTTGCAGGAGACCGCTTCCACAGGGTCTACCTGCCTTGTCACCTCAGCYGTTCGCCACAATCCAGYACGGGCCGCTTGTGGCTCTAGAGGAAGAAAGGAGAGCGAAACTGCGTAYRTCAGTAAGAACCGTCCRAGCCCACGGGAAGTGCCGCCGATTGAAGATCGAAAAATAAGGGAAGGAGGGCCGGGAATAAAGAGGGTGTAGAGTGGGGAGGGTCTCATAGAGAAGTGAYGGCAGTATGAGGATACAGAGGGATCCGGTCGACACATCACTGGAAGGSGGAAGCAAGGGAGGAMAAGTTATTAKTTAAGGCATCCAAACAAGGGTAGGGTTTAGGGTTTAGGGTTTAGGGTTCAACAGAACTCAGAGGATGGGGGAGAGTAGCTGGAACTAAGGAAATCACAGCAAATAAGGGCGGGTTGGGGATGAGGGACAGCATGAGCGGGCAACAGCACGGGAGGAACTCTTTCTAGGTATAACAGATAAATCTGGCAGGACTGCAATAGTAGATCTGAGAGGGAAGAGCGACTCTGGGCAAGCTGACAGTCAATCCTCCACCCAACGTGGAGCAATCAATGCTGTTCAGGGGTCCTCCGGCCAGACGGGAGGAAGCGTGAGTTGGTTGCTGTGATGTATCATACTTTGACTTGCCGGTGGAATAGGAACCGGACTGTCGCTCCCCAGAATGGAAGGAGTCGGGACCATAAGGCCCTGTTTAAAAAAAAAACAAAAAAACAAAAAAAAAAACAGAACCTCTTGGTTCTGGCTCCTACCATTCTGGGGAGCAACAGTCCGGTTCCCATTCCCCCGGCAAGTCAAATTGGAGTACATAAAAACATACGCACGCTCCTCCCCATTATGGATGGGAGGCCCGAGTAGGCAGCATTGATTACTTCCRTGAGGAAGGATGYACCACCCCTCCCCCCTGCCTRTACTATCCTTRTCCTACTTCGTCTATCCTACAGTCATCWTGCCCTGCTAAGCCTTTTCCTCTTAGGCCGAATAAATCGACCTGCCATATGGCTCGTGAATACCAAGAAAAGCACTTAGCTGCTTCTCCCTATGCTACCCTGACCCCATATATTACCTAGGTAAGTCAAAATAAAAGATGCAACGCACTCGAAACGCTTCTCCCCTTTTATGGAAGAGAGGCCCGAGTGGGCGGCATTGTTTACGTCCAGGTTTGGAAGAATGTACCTCCCCTCCCCTCACCCCTGCCTAAGTTAGCCTGTGACTAACGATCCGCCGTCTCTATTGTCTACCTCCTCTCTCTTCTGCCACTCGCGTTCTTTCAGTAACCCCTTCCCTTGAATCCCTTTTCCCGTCTCCCTTATTTGCTTAGTAAGCTTCTTCTGCTTAAACCCTAAGACACCTTTAGTACCGACGCCCTGTCCTGAAGGGAGAAGGTCTAACTTTGTATATGTATCCCCAACCTGGTTTAGCCTTTGAGACTTGATCCTTTCGGTAACCACCCTTCCCTCTTAAACCGCAGGTACACACAGCCCCAGCCTTGCAGAAAGCTTTTGTCGCAACAACCAAAACTCGGAGGGGCCACGCGGCGTGGGGGCGCCCTTGAAAAAAATCGGCGGCCTCCAAAGTGGTGCGGGTTTTGTGCTGACACACGTGGGCCGATGTGTGGTGTACTGGTGCTTTAAACCCTGAGCCTTGATCCGTCTCCTGCGCCCCTTTACTACTAGTTGTCTTGTTCTTCGTCAATCCGCTCGTACTTCCTCTATCTGCTGTTGTCGCTGGGTTACTGCTGGCGCTCTCCAGTGGAATCTGAGGATAGCACCTTCAATTACCGCTAGCTTGTGTCTACCCAAGGTCCCTTTCTCAAATCTGGTACTTATTTCTTTTTTTACCCCCGCTGAATTCTCTGCCATCTTCCTCCTAAGTTGCCCTTTTTTTTTTCTTTTTTTTTTAACCACTAGTACCTTTGCCGCTTGGGAAAATAGTGGGCCTCGGATGGGCCTCCGACCTTTTCGGATGGCCGAAACGAAACGACCGCCGCCGATCAGATTTATCAATGGCAGCCGTCGTCGGGCCCGGCCTCCGAATTTTCAGGAGTTTGGGAAAACAGCCACTTTTCCCTAATTTCCCAACACTGGCGGAGGTACTAGTGGTTTAAGTTGCCCTTTTCCATTGTGCTTGGATGTCATCTTCCTCCTAAGTTGCCCTTTTTTTATTTATTTTTTTATTTTTAATCTCTCGTAAGTTGATTAGGATTTCATGCGCCTCGTGGGCATGCATTAGGCTCCTCTCTATCGTTTGCTGACATCTCCTCTTCCCTATTGTCCACGATGCATACTGTCTGGGCAAGCGATAAGTCTTCCTTTCATAACCCTGCCAGGTTCTTGGTGTGTCTATTGACTCTATTCCCAACAACAGTAAGGTCGTCGCCGTATCCTCCGCGAAGGTCACATCTGTGGCTTGGCTCACTCCATTATTTCTTTTTCTCAAAACAAAAAGGGAAAAACAGTGGCAGAGGGTGTGAGTCACAGGTTTGCTGGGGGGTGTAGAGAGAAGGAGCAGATGGAAAGGGGGAGACACAGATTCAGAGGTTTCTGAACTTATCGACAAAGCACCTTCTGTTTTATGTTTTCTGACTTTTCCCTTTTTTTTTGGGGGGGGGGGGAGAAGGGGAGGGAAGGGCGACGGTCTTGAGATATAATTGTTGAACTATACAGTGGCCTGGCTCAGTTGGTTAGGCACACAAATGGCATTCAGGAGGTTGGGGGTTCGAGCCCCATGACCGCTTCAGCGCACTTAGTGCCAACCCGCGGTGATAGTCCGCTTAATACCTCTGATCGGTATTAGTGGGGTCTTTGACCAACACGGGTGCGAGTGTGAGTGTGAGTGTGAGTGTGAGTGTGAGTGTGAGTGTGAGTGGGTGTGGGTGTGGGTGTGGGTGTGTTGTGTGGGAGAGTGTTGGCCTTAGACACTTCTGCTATCCGATGAGGGGTGGGGGATGATGAAAAAGGGAGACGCAGATACTGGCAAAATGCTCGGTCTTTGCGTTAGCCGGACCCCCAGCAGCGGCCCCACTCCATCTGTGGCTACCGCTGTTGGGGCGGGGCACAATATGAATCCCTCTCAAGTTTGTGAGGCACTTATGCTTGCAGGGGTCCCCTCTATATAGCCTTAGGAGTAATAGTAAGTAGGTAGTGAAAGGCAAAAGAAAATTTAGAGAAGAATATAGTGTTCTGGCCAATTTCGAAGTACACATTCATCAGAAAGCACAATGCCGTCCCCTTGCAAAAAGAAATGAATGAACTTGAGAGGAGAGAGAGGGAAAGAAGAAGAAGATGATGTACACCAGCATAGACCAATGATAATGCTCTTCGTCTTTGCCAACCACTCTCCTCCTCCTTATCTCCTCTTCTTTTATTCAAACAAGATTAATAACAAGAATGTTGAATGGCTGATCCAGAATCAATGTCCGAGTCCCTCTTCTACTGCAGGTATCACTTGAGGTCCACCATAGCCATGGCCGCCCCTCTCTCTCTCTGCCTCATAGGCCGAGGCTATGGCGGACTACCAGGGCATCGCCCTGCTGTCCAAAGGACAACACAAAGCAGCTATGGCTGCTCTAGTTCAGGCCCCCATGCCTGACTCTGCCTCAAAGCTTCTTGGCGTAGCTCTGCCCCAACTGGCCTTTCTGCTGCAGCGCCCACCAAGGTGATGAAGATGGCAACCACCAAGTACCTCTGGCGCTCCCCTTCCTAGTCCTGGCCTTCTTCCTCCTCTGTGTCCTTGCTCCTTCCCCAGCAGCGCCGCTGTGTGCCAGCGCTGCTCCAGCCAGCGCTCCAACCAGTGTGTCACCAATCTTGCACACCGACAATGAGGAGGAGCAACTGGCTCGGCCTGCTTGCCTCTTGGCGAGTGACCTCCTAGGCCGCGCGGCCTGCAAGCAACTGGTACCTCCCCTCTTTCGGAGGGAAACATCATTGCAGACTCTGATATTGCCCGCACAGGCCCTAGACTCAGACTGGTTGGACTGTTACCTGCCTAGACCTAGCCTACAACTACTGGGCCTCTAAAAATGCCAACTGTTGTCTTCTTCTGCTTGGCCTCGAGTACCCAGCACATCTACCTCTACCTGGTGTGGTACCGGCCTACCTGCTACTTGAGTGTTTTCCGCTGCTTCGGGCCTCTTTCCCCGCCACTTGAGTGTTTTCCCCCACTGCAGTCCTCAATGTCACGGCCACAGGTAAGTACCGGCCCTTTGGGCCCACTGAACGAACAAGTGCCCTTGCGGGTCACACACACACTCAAGCCGACAAGCACTCAGACAGACATGCAGACCAGCAAGCGTGCACACACACAGACTTAGAGAACTCCGTAACAAGCGGGAAACTCACTGAGGCATTCATTCCATGAGCAAAACTCATGTGTCTCAGTCCGTGTTTGGTCAGGTCATTGCAATAGTGTAGTTTTAACAAAAAGTAAAAAATAATTGTTGAACTGACCGGCCCTGGGTAATTCTTTTATTCCGTTCATCTGATTGCATCTGGCTCCGATCTTGGCTTTGTGGCTCGACAGTTTATGGGTATACGAACTGAGCTAAGCTCCTCAGTTGTTTTCCCTTTCTGTGGCAGGTCATTTATGAAGATCTTCCCGGAAATTTATGCGCCTTCCGAAAGCGTATCCAGGAGCTACGCAAACTAAGAAAAAACAACGATGGCGATGGCGAGGGCGATGATGGCGATGGTGACATCGACAACGGCGAAGCATTGCCATTGTCGTCAAACTCAACGGCAGTGGGGTCTAGGAACGACTCGAATGCAAAGGGAAAGACCGGCGGGGGGSGGGRGGGKGGGCTAGGACGAAAACCGGGCAGAGCTGAGAAACACGGTGGCAGTGGCGGGAAGAAGGCGCCACCGGTGACAGGAAGTCGGCGAAAGCGACCGCGAGAGCGATTACGAGGGGCGAAAGATGTGTTTAAAGACTTGAGTGCCATTGAACAGGAGCTGACGGCTTTTATATCCAAATTTGGCGAGCATGGCATAATGCCGATGAGAAGTGAGATCAGGGCACAGAGAAGGACCGATTTGGAAAAAGCGATAACGAGAGAGGGCGGCTTCGTAAAGGTTGCAGCGAGGCTTGGGCTGAAGCTCGCTTATCGCCAACGAAAGCCCAAAGGGTACTGGCATAACCTAGAAAATGTCAGAAAGGAGGTGAGTTCTTTTTTTCCTTTCTTTCTTTCTTTTTTTGTAACCTCATGTGGCATCATGCACCCTGTTTAATCACAAAGAAAAAAAGAAAAAAAAGAAAAAAAAAAACATGTGGTGTGCAAGGCACTATTCAGGAGGTGATAAGAGCATCCCTAGGAATTGTGCGCGCGCTTGTTTTTCCTTTTCTTTTTTCTTTCTTGCACTTGTATTCCAGTGCAGACAGTAGGGGGAAAGGAAGGAGTAATGGCAAAAGTGGTGTCCCATGTGGACTCGGTTTTTGAGCTGCTCATCCATGGAATGAACTATTGCATGAATTGGGTAGAAGTCGTTAAACCGCCAGTGCATCGCCCGGCCAAACTTGAGGATCGTAGTCAAGCCAATCCAAAATTTTCGGAGGCTCGGGGCATCCGGACCAAAATGGCTGGTTAAGGGGAATTCCCTGGCCCCAGAAAATGGCCGGTTAGGGGGAATTCCCTGGCGCCAGTTGAATGAAAACAAAAAGCGTCACACTGGCAAAGCTTGGTGCACAGGGGGAATCCCCTCGGCAAAAACATGCTCGGATGTACTGGTAGTTTAAAACTTGTCTCTGCTTTCCCTGACCATTAGCCTCCCCACCCCCTGTTCCTAGCCGGTACACAAATGGCGAATCCTTTTTCCTTCCCTTAGTTTGTCTTCAGAAATGAGTATTCTTGAGATTCCTGTCCCCCAGAAAAAAGAGTAATATCCAACTTTCTATGTATTACCAGGCAGCCCCTTTGTGAGCTGAAGAGGGTTTTCCGCCCCCTGGAGTGCAACCGAGTGATTTGGAGAGAGAGAGAGAGAGAGAGAGAGAGAGAGAGGATACACATCCTGATCTCAAGTGTGACTCAGTAGGGGAGAGAGAGAGAGAGAGAGAGAGAGAGAGAGAGAGAGAGAGAGAGAGAGAGAGAGAGAGAGA